GCCCAGAACTTTGGTCTGGTGGTCTCTCATCCAAATACTAATAATATGAGACCTTGATTAGCTTTTCTGAGATCAATCAAGGTCAGTTATGAGGTGCTGCCACTTAACTGGATATGGCCAGTCCTTGGCAGCCCTTAATGCATCCTTTGAATTATTATCTTTGTTTTTCTTATATAAATCAAATCTACCAAATTGGTATAAAACACAGAGCTAGAAGATTTAAAAGTCCATTTTGGAGGTAAAAGAACTGTTTTTGGACATGGAAGATAAAGAGGTCAAGGAGTTTCCAATATGAGTTGACTTTCAGCTTCACTATCTTTCTTTGGCATTTGAAAATAAGATGAATGAAGTATAACACAGAACCAAGAAATGAAAGAATAAATCCAGTCAAATATTTTTGATAGAAAAGAAAAAACTGGGATTACAACCCAGAGTTCTATAATTGGTAATGTCCAAGTCACTCTGCAGCTAGGCTGATGTGATTTGATACTTCAGAAAATACTTCCATTCTCTTAGGGGGGAAAACAGAAGTTGCTGAACTTTAAAAAAAATAGCAAGAACACAATGAGATTTGTAGATAAGCTACAGCTATATGAGGGATGAAGCATGCCAAGTTCATAGAAATCAGTACAGAAATTTTGAAACTATATTACTTTAAAATATTCTGCTCCAATGGAAGTAGAATCATTTTGGGAGAGATAATGGATCTACAGAACCTTATGGTCATTTGCTCCCCTGGTACCCTAAGGAGAACACGTTACTATGGCAAACTTCCCTTTAATTGATATGAACAGTAAACCAGCTTTATCTCTCTGTCTCTCTCACACACGCACAAGGAAGGAACTTATACTCTCACAACCTTTTACCAACATGGCTCAGCAGGACTGAGGAAATGATCATCTCAGAGATAAGTAAAGGTTCAACCAGACCATCAGTAAGTTCCTTCAGAGCCCTAAGATGCAATTAAAATGGTCCTGGAGATTTAGAATATCAAAGTAAGCCAATACTCTCTGACCATATTCTAACATTCTTCCTCCTGTTTTTCATAGTTGCCTGGTAGAACCCCTACTCTTTTCTCAGAATAGTCTGAACCAAAATAGAAATAAAGTAGGTCTGCCTTTCATTTGTTGCCTGCAGCGGCACCTGCATCAAACCACAATGATGCCAAAATAATGACATATACGTACACCCATAATGATGTCATCATCCCAATGTCTGATGTAAGTGCATGTCATGCCATTTACATGATGATATTATGTATCTGTCATCACTTTCCCCCTCTTGCCTCACTGCAGACACCCCATGGTGCCTGCTAATCATTTTGAAGTCTTCATTGAACAGCTAGTATTGTATACTGATATTTTTTCCTCCTCCTTTGAATTTGAATGTACCTGAAGAAGCCCTATTTGTTGTTCCTAGCATCTTTTACCAATGTCAGTTCATTTGAGCTTTAGCCTTTCTGATAATTCCAAGCTACTTTTATATATTCTTCCTTAGTGAACTGGCTCTCTTTCCATCTCCCATATGTGCCATTTATTCATTTATTTACAGATTTTCAATACTTAGCTGTGTAGCCATATTGGCTTGTTTTGAATTCTCCCTTTTTTCTGCATTGGACTTGTTTGTAACTGTGCTGTTAGTATTTTCTTTTTTAGGAATTCCCACCTCTCTTGAATTCCTTTTCCCATTAGCTTGGAAAGCTTATTTCTCATTGCTCTAAGTTTATTCAAATCTTTCTAGGAATTTAGCTACTCGGCTACAGTTTTAACTTCACTTAAATTCAAGAACTCCAACATTATATGATTGCTTTCCCCCAACATTCCTGTGATCTCTACTTCCTCATCTATTGGATAGTTTTAGATCAAAGTTGGCTGATTGGTTTGGATCTTTTTTCCCCCTTTGAAGGAGAAAATTGACAACAAGACAAATCAGGAAATTCCTGTCAAGACCATGCTTGGCAGATTGTTATTCCTACTAGATGCTGTCAAGATTTTAATCCAGATAATTAGTTGCTGGAAGAGGAGTTCCGCTAAAACTGGAGAGTGGGGACACCCAGCTCCTAGTCTACTCTCAGCCATGAAAGCTCATCCTTATTCATGCTGTCTCAGCCCAATTTCTCCACAGGGTTGTTATTGCAGAGAAAAAAATATGGGGAAGGAGTGAAATGCATATGGCCTTGAGCTGCTAGAAGAGAGTCAGGATATAAATCTAACCAAAAAATGAATGCATTTTGAAATGATGTATTAATGTTTGTTTTTTGGTGCCTTTGAGTCAGTGTTTGACTCCTGGTGAGGTTTTGACTTTTGACTTTTTTGGCAAGATTTTTAAGAAGTGGTTTGCCATTGCCTCCTTCCCAGGGCTGAGAGAGAGTGACTGGCCCCAGTTCACTAGGCTGGCTTTGTGCCTAACACAGAACTCACAGTCTCCCGGTTTCTAGCCTGGGGCCTTAACCACTACACCAAACTGGCTCTCTATATTAAAAATACATTACCATTAATATTTCATTTTGTTTCATTTTCCATTTATTCAATATATGAACACAGGGGAATTCTCTGCAACTTCTGTATCCCACTGAATCTTTCCATTCCACCATTTTCAAACATTGACTCTGTGAATCTTTTTGTAATGCCAATCAACCTCAGATTACTGTTGCAGAAAGGAGCCTCTTAAGCTTTTAAGAGCATTCAGACAGGAGATAGTAAGGTGCGTCCAAGGGCCATGCAGAGCAAATAGCCAAATGTGGAGCTATTATGAGCCCATAAATGACTTTCTGCAACAAATGTGGAAATTAAGGATGAAATGTTTAGTGATAGTTGTACGTTCCTAAAATGTCTTCATTTCTCTCACATATCTTAACCATCACTCATGATTGACATGCACTGTTGAAAATGAAGACAAGTTTTGATCAGAGATTTTTTTAATGTGGATTATCTGATTTTTTACTTGCCCATTTTTCTGCAGTATACATCTACACCATGGATATAATGATCAGAGTGAGAAGACAGCATTTTAGACAGTCATATTTATTCTCTCAGTTGTGAAGCACAAAATTAACATTTCTCTTCTTTCCATCTGATTTGTATCTGCATTCATGGAGTGTTAAAGAGCAAACAAACAAACAGAACCCTGTTGTTCAGCCAGGATTTTAAAAATGCACTTTCAGACTGATGTTGTTGGGATGGCAACAAAGCCAGAGGAGAAAAAAAGTCACATTGCCTATAACAAAGGGCACACTCCCCAATCAGCTCAGAATAATTGCAACAGAGACACCTTAGGGATTAGTAGTGGGCACGGCAAATGTCATGCCAGCCATGTCTTTTGTTGACTTAAGAATGGAGGATGGGAAAGGCCCTGCAGTGCGTAACAGGACCAAACGCTGTTAATGACTGGCCTTTTTTCCTAACATTTTCTTCCTAAAGGTCATCTGGCAGTGCATTACAGCACACACCTCCTTCCTCTCTTCTATTTAATATGTTTTTCTACAATTGAAGCAGGCAACCTTTTAATGGCTGGGTAGCATGCTTGTTCTTTTTTCAGTTTTTGAGAGCTGCAGAACCTGATGGTGAGACAGTGATACTTCTGGAGAGGGAGCAACCAATTTTTTATTTTTTGTTTGTATTTTGGAAGTGGTTAAGGCAAAAACAAATACATTTAGCATAGCAAAAGCTAAGTACACTTACTTTAACACTTGTGGTTTAAAAAGATGGAAAAGTAAAACTGCCCCTAATCAATAATTTATCTGTGACTAGATTTCAATAGGGTGGGCTCTGGACACGACCAAAGTAGAGGGCTTGTGAGTTGTTAAATGTCAGATTACAGAACTGGGAAAAGGGATGGTTTTGGCTCTGATGTTACTGGTGGGCTGAATAACTCTTCAGTGCTAAACTGAGTAGTGTACAGTACAGAAGAATCCTGAGCAGTAAATACATGATGGCACTGCATCGAGGTTCTCCAATTCATTCACATTGACCGTGCAGCTGCAAATAAAAGTAGCACTGAAAGGAGGAGGCACTGTGATGGAATGGAATTACGAAGGCCGGGCTCAGGGAGAAAAACATTTTCTTACATCTCCTGAGGAGCGTGGGAGATACAAGAGGATG